TATATATATATATATATATATATATATATATATATATATATATATGTGTGTGTGTGTGTGTGTGTGTGTGCACACATATATCCTACATTTCCTCTAGGTATACACGTGCATATTATAGCTGCACGCATGTAAGAGCAGTCGCAGTCTAGGAAGGATAATGAATAAGCGCATAGGGGCGTGTAGCTCAAAAAACTCCGGAGTGGAGGAGTGGGAGTAGAAAAGCTGCGTACCCTCCACGCATGAGAATGGGACAGAAAAACCGTAATGAATGCAGAGCTGCCAAAGGAGCCCTAAGAACATCATCCCCTCGGCGGCCTTCAAGTCTCCTGGAACGCTGCGCACACTCAATCACCCCCCAGGACTTCAGCTGTCAGGCTGCAGTTCCCCAGTAACCCGCGCAAAAGTACATCCGATGCATAAATGCTATATTTATATTTTCCAAGGCTGCACTGAACTAGATTGAAATATGTTGCAATGAGATATTTGCGCTCTGTGTAAAGCATCCGCAGGCACGCGTAATTCCAGATCGTGGAAGCATTCTTTCTTACGAACACAGACTGGAGATAAAGGCTAAGAGCGTCTCCTTCAAGGCCTCTTCTAACGTATCTGCGGCGGAGGCTGAACACGAGCCTGCAGGCTTCTGATCACAGTTGAGTGTCTGGCTGCCTTTGCCTCTCCTTGAACGGACAGCAAAGAGAGGACTCTTGAGAACTGCAACTTTGATAGCCTGCTGGGGATAAACTAGTGGGCTGAAGGGCTTGTCCGTCATCGGCCTAGTGTCATTTGCAGCGCTGCAATTCGGCAGAGGCACACTGCTTGCTGCTGTAGTGAACTCGGTTGCCGCTGCAGCGTCCACAGCAGCAGCAACAGCTTCCTGCAGAGACACTCCCCCGGGCCCCTTCCTTAAGGACTGTAGCAGGCGAACGCCACCGGTGACGACACTGCGAACAGCACAACCCCCAGTGTACGGATCTCCTACGAAAGCTGTGCTTTCCGACCGCCACACAACTGAGGCCCCCCAGCGGGTTGAATGAGGGTTTCAATCCATCGGATTGTAATGCAATAATATAAGTAATAATCTCTATAAAAGGGCGGCAACAGCGAATATATTACTGTCAATAATAATACCAGTTGTGAAAGTAATACTCAACATAATGTTACTATTGTCATACTGTAATAATGATGTTGCTACATATATACAATTAATAATCACACACCGCAACTTTGCGCTGGCCGAAGCTACTGCGACTTTGCACCTCAAGTGCTCTGTCAAGAGACGGAACGGCTCTAGAGCAGCAGAAACTGCACTATGCTGAGGGGTTGCTGCCCCACTGGACCCTGGTGGTGAGAGGGACACCGCATCTTTAGCCTGCCAAGCGACCAGAACAGGTACAGACAAAAGACAGAAACACACGGACAGAGCTAATGAGACTGCAAGCTCGTCACTAAAGACTGAAGCGTTGCATCCGTAAGCGCAGCGTGCCCAACACAAAAGCGTCAACAGACAAGAAACGCAGAGTTCACTCAGAGCATACCAACTCAGCGTAGATGCCGGAGGCAGCGAAGAAGGCCCGCACGCAATCATTCACGTCGGCTTCCTGCAGCTGTAAAGCAACAAGGAGAAGAGACAAGGAGAAGACACATGCCGGCGCACGTAGACTGCAGGGGCTTCTGCCTCACGCCCCTTTTTCTGTCCCCCCACCGCCAACAGACCTACCTGGGAGGCTAGACGCTGTAAAAGCAACAGGAATAGCGGAAGACCTGCTTTGCAT